AGTGAAGCCAGGCGGACGACGCAGCCAGATCTGCTCGTGCAGACTCCCCTGAAGAAACGCAGTGAAGTCCACGGAGTGCAACTCGTAGTCGCGCTGTGCTGCAATATGCAGCAACACCCGAAGAGTGGTCATCTTCGAGGTGGGAGCGAAGGTCGGAAAGAAGTCTACCCCCTCTCGTTGTCTGAAGCCTCTTGCCACGTAGCGCGCCTTGAACACCGGTGGTGCTCCCGGCGGCCGCTTCACCTTGTAGAGCCACATGCCACTAACAACGTTCGTCCCAGGTGGTGGGACGGCGTCGACGTAGGTGCCTGTGGACCTATAAGATGCCATCTCTGCCTCCTCAGCTGCTATCCAGTATGGAGCCCAGGGTCCCGAGACCGCCTTAGCGTGAGTGCGAGGGATCGGGATGTCAAGGGCGTCTGGATCCCCCTCAGGGGCAAGCAGCATGGCGCAGAGATGAGGAACAGCGACCGCTAGGAAACCAAGCTCGAACTGCCTGTCCTCCAGGACCTCCAACGGAAAGACAGGAGCACCCCCAGAGGACGGAGAACGAGCAGGGCCACTCATCAAGTGAGCGGCGTAGTCAAGGCGGTGGGAAGAGGCAAAGTCAGCGACAGTGGTAACAAGGGCTGAGACAGACGACAGAGGTGCAGTTGGGTGAGTGACCAACTCAGACAAAACACGGGAGACGACAAGACGGGAGGCACTGAGGTAGTCGGACAATGGGTTGTGAAGCACAGTAAAGGATGACTCAGGAGGTTGTGGAAGGACGGACGACGACTACGAGGCGCGATTAAGGACGGGGCGCGCGCTAGTACGGGGCGCTCGCTAGCGATTTCGGTGGGCCCTTAGTTTATCGAGTGAAAATCGCTATGGGAAACCCTAGCTAGGATAAACCTGCTCTATGCCATGTTTAGATATGAGAATGTAATGACTAGAATGAGCAAGTACAAGGGTAGATATAGCAAACCTAAACCGAGCACTAATCAATGTGTACACCACCTAGACTAAACAATTATAGTTTGACAATGCGTTGTTCGGGAGCGATGTGTCAGAACATTATAGCTTACTTATTTGTGTAGGCTATAGTGGGGTATCCCATAGGTGGTACAACCCAATTAGGGTTTCCTATTTGTACTCACTTCGTTCATAGTCATTTCATTCTCGTTCTATTCTTCTCATGGTATCGAGCAGGTTCCCCTGTGGGAACTGTGCTTAGGGCCCACCACTACTTCGAAATTTTTTATTTTTTTTTACACGGAGCGCGCTCCGGGCTCTCTCTCTTACCTCTGTCGACCGGCCCTTAGCCGCCCGCGCGCCGCCTGTTCAGGCCTCACGCCGCCAGCGCGCCGCCCTAGACGCTAGCGCGCCGCCCGTCCCGGCCCCGTGCAGCCCGCGCGCCGCCCTTAGCAGCCCGCGCGCCGCCCTAAGCAGCCCGCGCGCCGCCCTAAGCAGCCCGCGCGCCGCTCGCCCGGCCCCAGGCCGCCCACGCGCCGTCCGCGCGCCGCCCTTAGCCGCCCGCGCGCCGCCTGCCAGGCCTTAGGCCACCCACGCTCCGCCCGCGCGCCGCCCTTAACCGCCCACGTGCCGCCCGTGCGCCGCCCTTAGCCGCCCGAAGCGCAGCCTATGAGCCGCCTGTGAGCCGCCCGTGAGCCGCCCGTGCGCCGCTCGTAGCCGCCCGAAGCGCCGCCCGTGAGCCGCCCGTGAGCCGCCCGTGAGCCGCCCGTGAGCCGCCCGTGAGCCGCCCGTGAGCCGCCCGTCAGCCGCCCGTGAGCCGCCCGTGAGCCGCCCGTGAGCCGTCCGTCCCGGCCTCGAGCCGCCCGTGAACCGCCCGTGAGCCGCCTGTGCGCCGCCCGTGAACCGCCCGTCCCGGCCCCGAGCCACTCGTGAGCCGCCCACCTCGGTCCCGCTCCCAGCCGCCCTCGCGCCACGCTGTCCCGGCCCTTCGACGCCCGAGCCGCCCGTGCCACCCGCGTCACCCGAGCCGCCCGAGCCGCCTACGCAGCTGAGGAGCCGAGCTGCCCGAGCCACCTTTGCCGCCCGAGCCGCCCGAGCCGCCTGTACCGCCGAGCGCCCGAGCCGCCCGAGCCGCCCGAGCCGCCCGAGCCGCCCAAGCCGCCCGAGCCGCCCGAGCCGCCCGAGCCGCCTGAGGAGCCGAGCTGCTGGTCCTGTGGGGCTGCTGTTGCTACTGGGCCGGCAGAGCTGCTGTGTTGCCGTGTTGCTGTGCTGCTGAGCTGCCCGACCCGTCCTGTCTGGTGAGCACAGCTCCACAGCTACTGCGTACCCCTTCCCGCACTGCTTGCACTGCTAGTCTGTCCTCATGGCTACCCCTAGTGTCCTAGCTTTTGACGCTGAGGGTCGCGCCATTGACTTTGAGGTCTGGGTCGACGACCTGCAGCTGTTCTTACAGTGCGATAGGGCAGACGGTCTTTCTCTCTTTGACCTCACCTCTGGCGCCGTCCCTGCCCCTGCTGCTGATGCTGACGCCACTGTTCGCTCACAGTGGGCCACGCGCGATGCTGCTGCACGTCTTGCTGTGCGTCGCCACCTGCCTACCGCTGAGCGCGCGCACTTTAGCCAGTACAAGAGTGCCCAGACCTTGTACGACGCTGTAGTTGCGCGCTACTCCTCCCCTGCCACTGCTGCACTGAGCCGCCTCATGCTCCCCTTCCTCTTCCCTGACCTTGCCGCCTTTCCCACTGTCGCTGATCTCATTACGCACCTCCGCACTAGTGACACTCGCTACCGCACTGCGCTTCCTGCTGACTTCTGCGCCAAGAACCCCCCCCCATGTACATCACTCTCTACTTTTTAGTCACTCGCCTCCCTGACTCCCTTCGTGTAGTCCGGGACCACTTCCTCGCGGTCTGTCCCACCACCCTCACAGTCGACAGCCTCGAGAAGGCCCTCCTAGCGGCAGAGAAGAGCATAGTTGCTGTAGGAGCCTCTCGAGGTGACCCCCGCGCCCCCATCTTTGAGGGGTGTTCTCCTTCCCCTCTCCTGCCCTCTGTTGCCTCTGCCGCTGCGGCTGACCTCGTTGGTCTTGAGTCAGTCGGTGCGGCATCTGCCCCTAGCGGGAGACGCCGCTCTGGCAAGGGCAAGGGGGGCAAGGGAGCGGGTGGGGCCAGCGGGGGCGGTGGAGGTGGAGGTGGAGGCGGCGGAGGGAGTGGGGGTGGCGGTGGAGGGGGTGGCGGGGGTGGGGGTGCTAGTGGCGGCAGTGGAGGCGGGGGTAGCGGCGGCGGTGGTGGTGGGAGCGGAGGTGGCGGAGGCGGCGGCGGTGGAGGCGGAGGCGGGGGCGGTGGAGGCGGAGGCGGGGGTGGCGGTGGTGGAGGTGGTCGGAGTGGCACTTCGCAGCGAAGCAGCACTGGGGGTGGTCAGCGCCAGCAGCAGCAGCAGCAGCAGCAGCGTTCTCGCGACATCCCCACCCCTCAGCAGCTCCGTGAGTGGTACACGCAGCGTCAGCGTGGTGGGGGTTTTGGTCCCTGCACCTACGTTCTTCGCACTGGCGACCGCGCTGGAGAGCAGTGTGGGGGTACCCACACCGCCCAGCGCTGCTTTGGCCGCTTGACGGACGCTTGACGCCAGCAGTTCCCGGAGGCCGCGGAGATCCCCCGCTGGGGAGAGCTGTCTAGGGCTGGAGTAGCTATCTTTGATCTTGACTTTGATGCTATCTTTGCTGCCATGTATGATGTGACCATTAGTGATGAGGGTGACTGTTACCGGTGTTTCCCGCCCGACCCGGGCATTGGTACTGCTGCTCTAGGTGCCAGCGAGGCTTCTACTCTAGGTGCCAGTGCGTCTGTGCTCTCAGGTACTGGTGAGGCTGCTCTCTCAGGTACTAGTGAGTCTGCGCTCTCAGGTACTGCTTCGGCTTCGGCCTCCCACACCTTCACCCTCTGGAGCGTCTCGCTCCTTCTTTCGGGACCGCACCACCCTCACGCCGCTTAGTCGGCCGGTTGCGGTGTCCCTGGCTGACCCCTCTGGGGGTCCTGTTCTGTCTCGCTTCTCCACAGTCCTCCCGTGTCCGGCGGCTCCCTCTGGCACCCTGTCTGGTCTCTACCTCCCCTCGTTCTCTACGAATTTGGTGAGTGGTGCTGACCTACAGGATGCGGGAGTCCACCAGTTCACCCCTGCTCGTCAGCGAGTGACGCACTGCATAGAGGCTAGCACAGGTCGTCACCTGGCTACGTTTACACGTCAGCCAGGGTCGAGCCTGTACACACTGACCACTGCTTCTCCTTAACCCGCGCTCCGGGCCTCCGCTTCGACACTTTTCCCAACCTCAGTCCCAGGCCCGTCGCGCGACAACCACAGTCCATTACCGTTACCACTGTAGTTTCGCTATATATTCTTCGCTCATGCCTTCGCTCATTGTACTCTTGCTTCGATAGTGCAATTCTCGTTCGTTCACTCAATTGCCCACGTAACATTCAGTCAACGCGTTGGAGAACGATGTTGTGCGCTGTAGAATGGTTTTTTTTTCTTTTGACCGCTTTCAACCGCTGCGTACCAGCTCGAACGTTCTTAATTGAAGTCTGGCAACTGACTAGATGTTTGGTGGGACCATCCAACCTAGAGAATGCTGGTAGTCCAGTCCAGATAAGGAGGACGACGAACACGACGGTGATTTTTGTAATGAGAGATAACTTGCGGCGAGTGTGCCAAAAAACACCTGTATAATTCTACAAGTACTATCTTGTCAAAACACCTCATTTCTGCAGACTCAATACGCTCGCGGGTTATTTATTCTTTCTCCATGCATGTGAATTACTCAAGCACTCCACTAAATGCGATTCAGCTTACCAGACTAATGTTCAGGGGTATACCCTGAATGATTACATGGTTAGGATGGCATTTCACACCCACCCAGGTTGGCCTTCCACATGAAACAACAGGAGCCCACTAACTTCTTATTCTCACTACTCTGTAAGCACCCAGGCGCTTTAAGAAGTGTACATTCGCATCGCAACAGAAACGAAAAATATAAATACATATTCAGCCTACTGTGACGGTGCTGATTGAGCAAGAACAGCCATTTTCCGCTGCTCCGTCTGTTCAACCCCCACTGCCCTCTCATCAAGCCGACCAATCAACTGCTCCTGCCCCTGGCTAGGCAGTAAGAACGGCAGGGAAGGGGTTTCCCGCCATGAGTCAGAAGACATTTCAGTCAACTCCACTGCGGAGAGTGACGATGCGGTGGCGGTAACCAGATTGTGCGGCCGAGATCGCGCGAAATCCGAATCGTGCGGTCGAGACACCTCGAATCCAGAATCATGCAGTGGCTCATCGTGAGACCTAGACATCTCATAATCTGGCCTCAAGTCATCTCTCATAGAAACATCTCCCCTCACCATACGCACATCCTCTCTGCCTGTACTCAAATCCACACCTTCCCCGTCACTCATCCGCCTCTTTCCTTCCGAATTCCCCCGCACACCATGCCCCCCCGCAGGCTCTCGGGCAGACTCGAAATCTCGGCCGCCTGCCCGCGGCTGAAACCCAGGCTGCCCGAAAGGCGAGGCGAACCGCGGCTTGTCCTCAGCAGAAAAATGCCGCTTCTCCTGTGGAACGGGCGGCGACATGACCCCTTGCTGCACCTTCCTCAGCATCATATAATCCCCGTGTGGCGCCTGTGCCATCATCATATCTGCTTCCACACTTTCTCCCGAGAACCCTCCTTGCCCTATCCCCCTTATCCCCTCTCTCCTCTCACTGCCCCCTCTCCCCTCTCTTCTTCCACTACCCAAAGGCAAGTTAGGCCGGGAGATCGGGCCATTATAGGATGCTCCTTCTCTTTTTCTCCTCATCAACGAATCTGAAACCGCCATAAGGCCACCCCCTTGCACCGCGTCCCCTTGCATTCCACCCCTTTGCACCCCTCCGCCTTGCACCCCACCGTGGGAATTGAGCTCTTCTGACGACCCCCCTCTCCTTATGTACATCTCTCCTCCACTCCCGGGACCTCTGAACCCCATCGCACTCCCTCCCTCTCCTCCTCCTCCATCCCCTCTTCTTCTCCCTCCTCCTCCCCCTCCTCCTCCCCCTCCTCCGACCGCCTCCGCCCCTCCTCCATTCGCGGGCCTCCCCACACTGCTCCCACTCCACTCGCCCCCACCGATTCCTGCCAACCCTTCTCCTGAACCTCCCCAGCCCAATCTCCCACTCTCCCTCTCACTCACTCCCTTACTCACTCCCCCACTCACTCTCTCACTCACTCTCTCACTCACACCTCCCATCTCCGCCCACACTTCCCCACTCCCATCCCCATCCCCCCTCGTCCCCCCTGACGCCTCCCCTCCTCCTTGCCAGCTCATCGCCAGCTCAGCCGGGACCACTCTATTCGGATTCTCCCCTCTCCCAAACCTCTGCTCAGGGGTGTCCCGAGCCTCGTGTTCCCCTCCCCTGTCACCATCCGGAAGTCTCCGCCCATCCACCCCTCTCGACGAATCTCCACCGTTGGATCCCGAGCGAGAAAACGTCAACGTGGAATTGTAGTACCCTCGTTGACCGCCCAACCGCTCTCCACCCCTTCCTCCTTCCTCCCCACCTCCACCTCTCCCTCCCCCCCTCTCATCCCCATAATCCACCCCTATCTCAGAATCGTACTCCTGTTGCCCCTCCCCCTCCTGCCCCTGGTGCTGCTGGTGCTGCCGCTGGTGCTGCTGCTGGTGAAAATGATTCCTTACAGGAGTATTCGATAACTCCATAGCAACAGCCTCTCCAAGTTCCCGCACCACCTCACTGATACTCGGTCGGTTGATACCCATGGGCTCGACACAGAGGATCCCCACCTCGGCCACCTTCCACATGGCGTCTATGAGAAATTCCGAAGGGGGGAGCGTGGGGTCGACTATTGCCTCTATGTCCCCCTGCTGCAGGTGCTTCCTCGCCTGGGGTGTCACAGCAGCAGAGAGGGATAGGGGAACACGCAGAGGGAGGAAGTGAGAGGGAGGATGATGGGGGCTCAACACAGAGAATGCCCACTTTGGCCACCTTCCACTTCTGACGGGGTCAGTGTGGGGTCGACTATTGCCTCTATGTCCCCCTGCTGCAGATGCTTGTGTGCCTGTGATGTCACGGCAGAGGGGAGGGTAGAAGGGGAGCTTGAGTGGAGATGGTGAGTGAGGGGAGGAATGGGGAAGGAAAGGTTGGGAGAAAAGCAATCGCAGGGGAGGCAGGCAAGTGAAGGTGAGAAAGAATAGAGGGGAAGATTTAGTTCCGAGGGGCCTCAAAAGCAATCAAGAGTGAGGCAGGCAAGTGGAGGTGAGGAAGAATAGAGGGGCAGATTCGGAAACAGTCAGCCAAACGAGACAAGTCCAAGCAGCCAACTGCAATCCACTGTACACAATCCAGTGCAGTCAAGAGCAGTCAACACTAGTCAACGCACGCACCCAGTCAATGATGTTCCAGTCGACGCGGGGGCGGCTGAGGTCGATGGGTTGCCGCCCGCTGACCAGCTCCAGCAGCACCACTCCAAAGCTGAACACATCACTGCGATCCGTCAGTTGCTGCACCGTGTAGTACCTGTGAGGAGAGGGAGGGGTGAGAGGGAGGGGTGAGGAGTGAGCTGCGTTCTCTGCAGCAAGATCCCCATCCCTGTTCTGCCTCCCGTACTCCAATCGACCAGTTCCCAACAGTCGATGGGTAGTCACTCTCCCGCTGACCAGCTCCAGCAGCACCTCACGTGACCACCTCCAAAGCTGAACACGTCACTCCTGTCTGTCAGCTGCTGCACCGTGTAGTACCTGGTGTGTGGATTGCAAGAGGAGGGGAAGGAGAAGGGGGCGAACGGGAGTAGAGAATGACTTGAGTGAGGCGGTTTCCCAGTCTTCCTGCCTCCCTGTCCCCTGTCCGCCCGCTGACCAGCTCCAGCAGAACCACTCCAAAGCTGAACACATCACTGCGATCCGTCAGCTGCTGCACCATGTAGTACCTGGTGGGGGGGCCGGAGGGAGGAGGGTAACCAGCCGTGCCCTTGACGTTGGTGGACACGTGCGTGGTGTCCTGGCCTGGGGGCCCAGGCGGGACAGCCCAAAGTCTGCGACCTTGCTTGCCGCAATAACAGGCAACCCCTCCACGCGCCTGATCAGCAGACTCACTCTGGGTCGAGGTACCCTGCACTGCACTGCCCTTCACATTGCTGCACACGTGCGTGTTGTCCTGCGGCCCCAGGCGGGACAGCCCAAAGTCCGTCCTTCTACCCACTCCAGTCCTTGCCTAAGCACCCCCCACACAGCCACTCACTCTGGGTCTAGGTAACCGGCTGTGCCCTTGACATTAGTGGAGACATGTGTGTTATCCTGCGGGCCCAGGTGGGACAGCCCACCAAAGTCAGCCCCCTCCACTCACCAGAACCCCCCGATCCCCTTGTTATACCAATATACTCACTCTGGGTCCAGGTAACCGGCAGTGCCCTTCACATTGGTGGAAACGTGCGTGCTGTCCTGCGGCCCCAGGCGAGACAGCCCAAAGTCTGCGACCTTGGCGCAGAGGCTGTCGTCGAGGAGAATGTTGGTGGTCTTGATGTCCCGATGGATGATGGATGGACGGAGAGCCACATGCAGGTACTCTATGCCTGGGATGCGGAAGGGAAGGGAGGAGAGGGGGAAAGGAGGAGGGGGGGAGGGGAGAATGGGGAATAGGGGAGTAAGGGGCTGTCGTCGGGCAGAATGTTGGTGGTCTTGATGTCCCGATGGATGATGGAGGGGCGGAGGGCCACGTGCAGGTACTTTATGCCTGGGAGAGAGGGCGAACATGCGAAGGAGGGAGCCAGAGGAGGGGAGAAACAACGGAACCGAATGGGTAAGAGCACAAAAAAACAGCGTAAGGCAGGAGGGGAGTGAAAGGCGCAACCGTTGTGGTGGGAGCAGTGGCATGCTCGAGAGCTTGCCCTCCCTCGTTGACTTGATACCTTGGGCAGCACCAACCTTCCCCCTTGACCTCAGCTCCTCCCACTTTCCCACTTCCCCCTTCCCCACCTCGCCCTCACCCTACCCCAGCTCGTCCTCTCCCTACCTTTGGCAGCACCAACAGCAATGGAGAGGCGCTGCAGCCACCGCAGACGCCCCCTTGGCGCTCCCAACCGGTCTGCACCGCATTGGAACGGAGCAGGGAAAGGGGTTGATGAGATGGGGCCGTAGGGGGCAGTGGGAAAGGGATGAATGAAGACTGCGGTATAGCAAGCAACAGAGAAACACATAGCCACGAAAATTCAAGAAGGATGTGCACACTTGATTCTGAGCCATGATTCTGAGCCATGATTCTGAGCCATGATTCTGAGCCATGATTCTGAGCCATGATTCTGAGCCATGATTCTGAGCCATGATTCTGAGCCATGATTCTAGCCACAACTGTTACTGCTGAAGAACCACTCACCATATAAGTGTTCTCGCAAGTTGCCCTGCGCCATGAACTCATAAACCAGCAGCTGCTGCAATCTGTTCCCTCTATAACATCATCCCCACTTACCATATAAGTGCTCTCGCAAGTTGCCCTGCGCCATGAACTCATACACCAGCAGCTGCTCAAATTTGTACCCTCTACAGCATCACCTTCCATCTTTTACCATCCCCACTCACTGTATAAGTGCTCGCGCAGGTTGCCCTGCGCCATGAACTCATACACCAGCAGCTGCTGCCCCTGCTCCTCACAGAAGGCTATCAGCGCCACCAGGTGGGGGTGCCGGATCTTGGACAGAAACTTGAGCTGGTGAGAAAAAGGAAGCGGAAGGAAGGGGGCGGAAAGGGGGTAAGCAGTTGGGATATGCGAGCGAGTCACTTTTTCAGAAACTTCAGAACGTGACTCCCAAAGAGCAGCTCAAATTTGAATGGATCAGAGGGCCACTGACAGAGGCCCAGAGCACCATATAAATGGACCAGTGGCCCGAAACCACCCGCTCCTTTCAGCTGCTGCTCAGAACCTCTCTCTGTAGCTCCTAGCTATGAGCCTCTCACTCACCTCGTTATTGAACTCTGTCGATCCCTGCATGGAATCCACTGCCCGTCGCTTCACCGCCACCACCCGCCCATTCGCTAGAACCCCGCGGCCGCCTGCTCCAATCATCTGCTCTTCACAGAACCCCCCCGTCGCCTCCTCCAGCTCTGCTAGACTCAGAAACCCCTCAAGAGAAAAAACCCCATAAGGCTCACTCTCTCTCACTCACTCACCTCATTATTGAACTCTGTCGACCCCTGCATGGAATCCACCGCTCGCCGTTTGACAGCCACAACCCGTCCATTCGCCAGCACGCCACGATACACCGGCCCGAACCCCCCAGCACCGATCATCTGCTCCTCACAGAACCCCCCCGTCGCCTCCTCCAGCTCTGCCAGACTCATCCGCTGTACGTGCGTGGACGGCACAGTGAACGGCGCCGCCTCCACCGCCAGCCCGTTGGGCGGCGCTTTTTGTCCGTTGTGCGCCACCTCCGCTGCTGCTGCTGTAGCTGCTGCTACTGCGGCACCTGTGGCTGCATGTGTAGCAGTGATGGCAGGAGCAGAACCTTCCACATTGGGATCACTCTTACGCTCGGATACATTCCCATTGGGCAACAGAGGCTCGGTAGAGCTGGAGTTAGGTCCGGAAAGAGGCATGGAATCTCTCTCCCTATCACTGAATTCCCCTCCTTCTCCTCTCCCTCTCGACCGCTCCCCGTCCCTCCCACTCTCACCCCCTCTCTCACTCCCTCTGTCTTCCCTTGATCTGCTCCGTGACACACCAACAGCCTGCCTTCTGCTCTCACCCTCTCCTCTTCCACTCCCCCCACCATAACCATCATTTCTTTTCCCCGATCCCTCGTCCCCATCCCCGCCCTCTCCTCCGCCTCCCCCTCCTGCTGCTGCCACTTCACCCCGCTTCTCTCCCTCCTCCTTCTCCCCCCTCTCCCCCTTCTCCCTGTCCTTCCTGGCCCCTCTAAAATACATCCACACCACCAGCGCCGAAGCAATAGCAGCAACTACTAGAGATCCCACCACAGATCCTACCAGCACGTTTCTCCCAGTAGCACTCGAGTCAGCCGTGGGAGAGGGGGGAACGGACGGCTCGGAAGGGGGTGCGGGGGAGATGGGGGAAGGTGCGGGCGGGGGGGCGGGGGGAGAGGACGGAGGGGGGGGCGGAGGGGGCAGGGCTCCGCAGTTGGGGAGATCGTAGAGGCCCTGCGGGGAGCAGAGGTCGTTGCCCGTGGCACTGGGGGAAGGGGGAAGCGGGGGGAAGGAGAGAAGCGGAAGAAAAGAGCTTAACAATCTGCACGAGAGTGGCAAATGGCACGTGGCATCTGCAGTTGGGGAGATCGTAGAGGCCCTGGGGGGAGCAGAGATCGTTGCCCGTGGCACTGGGGGAGGAGGGGAACAGGGAGGAAGATAGGAGCGGGTAAGGGGAAAAGAAAGAATCAGGGCAAGTGGGCTCGGCAGTTGGGGAGATCGTAAAGGCCCTGGGGGGAGCAGAGGTCGTTGCCCGTGGCACTGGGGGAAGAGAGAGAAGGGGACGGGCGGGAGGAGAGATGGGCGAAATAAGGGAAATAAAAAGGAGGGACAAGGAGGGGAGCAAGGAAAAGAGAGGGATTTGGCGGCTGCGCCCCGGGACAGGGGAATGTACCCCCTCTGTGCCCCCTGTGCTGCCCCGGTGCCCCCTTGTGCCCCTGCGCCCCCTGTTCCCCCTGTGTCCTCCCCCTTGTGCCCCTGCGCCCCCTGTTCCCCCTGTGTCCTCCCCCTTGTGCCCCTGCGCCCCCTGTTTCCCCTGTGTCCTCCCCCTTGTGCCCCTGCGCCCCCTGTTCCCCCTGTGCCCTCCCCCTTGTGCCCCTGCGCCCCCTGTTCCCCCTGTGTCCTCCCCCTTGTGCCCCTGCGCCCCCTGTTCCCCCTGTGTCCTCCCCCTTGTGCCCCTGCGCCCCCTGTTCCCCCTGTGTCCTCCCCCTTGTGCCCCTGCGCCCCCTGTTCCCCCTGTGTCCTCCCCCTTGTGCCCCTGCGCCCCCTGTTCCCCCTGTGTCCTCCCCCTTGTGCCCCTGCGCCCCCTGTTTCCCCTGTGTCCTCCCCCTTGTGCCCCTGCGCCCCATGTTCCCCCTGTGCCCTCCCCCTTGTGCCCCTGCGCCCCCTGTTCCCCCTGTGTCCTCCCCCTTGTGCCCCTGCGCCCCCTGTTCCCCCTGTGTCCTCCCCCTTGTGCCCCTGCGCCCCCTGTTTCCCCTGTGTCCTCCCCCTTGTGCCCCTGCGCCCCCTGTTCCCCCTGTGCCCTCCCCCTTGTGCCCCTGCGCCCCCTGTTCCCCCTGTGTCCTCCCCCTTGTGCCCCTGCGCCCCCTGTTCCCCCTGTGTCCTCCCCCTTGTGCCCCTGCGCCCCCTGTTCCCCCTGTGTCCTCCCCCTTGTGCCCCTGCGCCCCTGTTTCCCCTGTGTCCTCCCCCTTGTGCCCCTGCGCCCCCTGTTCCCCCTGTGCCCTCCCCCTTGTGCCCCTGCGCCCCCTGTTCCCCCTGTGTCCTCCCCCTTGTGCCCCTGCGCCCCCTGTTCCCCCTGTGTCCTCCCCCTTGTGCCCCTGCGCCCCCTGTTCCCCCTGTGTCCTCCCCCTTGTGCCCCTGCGCCCCCTGTTCCCCCTGTGTCCTCCCCCTTGTGCCCCTGCGCCCCCTGTTCCCCCTGTGTCCTCCCCCTTGTGCCCCTGCGCTGTGCCCCGGTGCCCCTTTGGCACTTACACGACTTGGATGAACTGGGTGGTCAAGTTGAACGGAAACACTCCCGTGAGGCTGTTGTTTGCCACGTTGCTGCAGTGTGCATCCAGGAGAGAAGGAAACACAGAGGGGAGCCCGGATGGGGAGTGGAGTGGGTGACTGACACGCTGCAGAGAAAGCAAGAGAAGGACGAGTGCAGTGCAAATGACTTGCAAACACAACGTGCACTGGTGGTGGTGGTGGTGGTCGTCGTCGTGGTGGTGCCAGTGCGGGGTCTGCTCTGAAAACAGCAGTTACCTCACAGCTGGAATAGATTGGTGAGATTGGTGAGCGACTGGGCAGCAGCAGAAAGAAGTGGGAACGACTCACAGCTGGACCAGATTGGTGAGGTTGGTGAGCGACTGAGGAACCCCCCCTGTTAAATGGTTGTTCTGCAATAGACTGCACGCCGCGGGGGAAAGAGAGAGAAGAAGGAGATGAGAGGCAATGGTGGAAAGAAAAGGGGTTGTGGGGAACGGGCGAAGGAGAGAGGGGAATAAGGCTGGATAGAGACCAAGGAAGAATCTTTGAGGTGCCTCAAGAAGCGACTAAGGAACCGATCTTTTAGGCGCCTCAAAGACGATTTTTTAGGCGCCTCGAAGACGATTTTTTAGGCGCCACAACGACAGAGACCAAGGGACGATCTTTGAGGTGCCTCGAAAAGCGCCTAAGGAACCATTTTTTTAGGCGCCTCGAATACGATTTTTTAAGCACCTTAAAGACGAATTTTGAGGCGCCTCGAAGACAGAGACCAAGGGACAGTCTTTGAGGTGCCTCGAAAAGCGACTAAGGAACCAACCAACCACTCAAGTTGGTTGCTCTGCTCTGCAGCTCTTACTTTCCAGGTCTACTTCCACGCCTAGCAAAACTTTCGAGACCTTTCATACAAGGTTTTAGCAAAGAAACAACCTAACGTTTGCGCGAAGCACCAAAGGCGCAGACTGCGAAGGAAGGTTGAAGGAGTCCGAGAGAGGGAGACTAAACGAGGGGCAGGAGAAGGGGAGTGAGGAAAAAGAGCGGGACGAGAATGATTTTGGCAGGGGGACGGGACGAACTGTGGCTGGAAATGGAGAGAGAGGGAGCGAGGGATTGGGGCAGCGGCAGAGTGAGGGTGCAAGAGAATCAGGGAGCAAGGAAGTGGGGGAAAAGGCGAGCAACGGACTGAGGGAGTGACGGTGAGAGGGAGTGAGGGAGCATCGGAACGAGGGAGCGAGGGAGTGCAAGAAAATATAAACTGGCAGAACAGAACACTCGTAGACTAAGGGAGCTGGGACCCGCTTGTGAGAATTCTCAGAAGCAACTCCAACATGACTGGCAGAACAGTACAGAACACAACACGCACAGAGTCCTTTTGAGGAGCCTCAAAAATCAGAACAGAACACTCACAGAGTTGAGAGATCCCCCAGGTCGCCAAGAGAGCTGGGAATCTCATTCTCCAGGTTGTTGTCGTTCACCCAGCTGGTGGGAGTATAAGGGGGGAGGAGGGGGGGGGTGGGGGTGGGGGGGGTGGAGGGTTTGAGAAAATTCAAAAAGTCGCTCACGAGATCGCCGAGGGAGCTGGGAATCTCGTTCTCCAAGTTGTTGTGATTCACCCAGCTGGAGAGCCATGGGGGAAAACGCGCCAGTCAAGTGACAAAGGGGAGATAGGGGGGGAAACAGTCGGGCACTTCAAGGTAGGAATCTTGTTCACGAGCTCGTTCTTATTGAGCCAGCTTGGGGAGGAGGAGGAGGATGAGGGGAGTTTTATGCAACACCGCCAAAACAAAAGAGATAAGGGGGGGGAAGACGGAGGGGAGCAGACAGAACCAACCAGCACAAGTAGCAGAGACAAGCAAGTGGGTGTTGGAAGGATGACACTCGAGTCCAAGAACGAAGGGACCGAGAAGGGCGAGAGAGACTGGGAGAGGCAAGCCTGCCTGAGAAGCAAGCGTGGGTCACTCACAGGTGTTGGAGGCGAGAGACGTTAGCCAGAGCTGGCGAGATGGGGCCGTGGAGACTGTAGTTGCCCAGGTAGCTGGTGGGGGGGAACGGGGGGGGAACGGAGAGGAGAGACTGTGGGTGCAGAAAGCAGAGAGAGGAAGGAATGCGGAGATGGGGCCGTGGAGACTGTATTTGCCTTTGCAAAAACTTATTCCCCTCCCCCCCACTCACATGCCGCTGACGTGCAATGCCCTGTCCCCCCTGTGCCTGGATGCACTGAATGCCCGCCCACTTGATGGGGTTGCAGGGGTCCGACCCCTGCCACCCTGCCAGAGACATTGGCGCTCCCATCCCTTTCTCTCTCCCATCCTTCCCCCTTTTCCTCCTCCAATCCCACCTCCCCGCCCCCCCACTCACATGCCGCTGACGTGTGACTCGCTGTCCCCCTGCGCCTGAGTGCACTGAATGCCCGCCCACTTGATGGGGTTGCAGGGGTCCGACCCCTGCCACCCGGCCAAAGACGCTGGCGCCCCCAGCAGCCTTTGGAATTCGCGCAGGGCGGAGACTGAGAAGGCAGACGGGGGGAGGGTAGCAGGGGAGTGGAGAGGGAGGGCAATTGGTGGAAGAATGGAAGATAGGAGGGGATGAGCATGACGGAACCGAGAAGAAAGGCCGTGTGGGTCACTTGATATAGTTACAGGGGTCTGCCCCCCTATCTGCCACAACACACTGCCAGAGACTCACGTTGCCCAATAACCGGAAATCACGCAAGGCAGGCATTGGGAAGGAGACGGAGGGAGAATCGGGAACACCTCGTACATCTCCATACCACTGATTGCCATATTGTGAGCCAGCTCGAATGTTTTTGAGAATTCTCAAAAACACCCTGCAGCACCACTGATTGCCATGTTGCGAGTCAGCTCGAATGTGAACTGCCAACTCAAGAATACACTCACTAAGTCGACTCGTGACTCACCTTCATCAGCGGGCGTTGGCTTGGCAGCGGGGAACACCTCGTACATCTCGATGCCGCTGATGGCTGGCGGCAGGCGGCTGGTAGCGACGGGCCTGAGCAGCAGGATGGCGGGGATGTAGAGATCCACACTCGTAAAATTCACCACCACCATCACCACCTGCTGCGCGTACAGGCTGCTATCAGTGCTGCTGCTGACACTGCTGCTGCTCCCAGAAGAAGGAGGAGGAGCGGGTGCAGGAGCTGTGGCGGAAGGGTTAGGAAGGGTGGACGGAGCTGCAGCAGCAGCAGAAGGAAGGGGAGTGGCAGGAGCAGCAGCAAGGCCTATCGCAGCTGCATGAGCAGTGACATCGCCACCACCCTCAACAGCACCACTTCCCACCACGCCACTTCCACTCGCACCACTTCCCACCACGCCACTTCCACTCACACCACTTCCCCCAACGCCACTTCCACTCACACCACTTCCCCCCACGCCACTCGGCCCAACCCGTGCCGCCCTGCCCGCCCCTTGCAGCTGCAAAAACAAATCAAATCTGCCAACCACCACCTGCTCGTTCAACACAATATCAAACACCATGTCCCCCGCCCGCTTCACCCGCCCCTCCACGTTCGTAAAGTACAGAATCAGCTGGAAATTCGCAGGGCTCTCGAGGAATTGAAACTGGTATTCCAGGCCACTGCTGCTGTCCATGGTGCCACCGGGGGCCTGTGGCACTGTGCGCGCTGTGAGCTGTAGAAAGGCAGGGGCAGCGTTGGTTGTGCCGTTCCCTGTGATTGCTTGCTCTGATGCTGCTGCAACCACTGCTGAACTTGCTTCTCCCGGTGCTAGCGCTTCTGCTGTCCCTTGGCCTACCACTGCTGCTCCTGCTGTCCCTGCTGCTGCTGCTGCTGCTGCTGCTGCTGCTGCTGCTGCTGCTGTTGCCGCCGCTTGCGCCGATTCCTCTGCTTCTACTGACGCACTCTCCCCCACCACTGTTCGGCCCGAATCCCCAGTGCCAATCGCAGCAGAAGTAGCTGCAGCCGCGGCTCTAGCCCCTATAGCCGGCTTAACGTTAATCGGTGTGCCAAAAACGTAGGAGTCGAGAGAATAGTCGAACATGAGGGTGGACGAGGCAGCGCCCCCACTGGTGGCCATCACACCGTCTGCATCCCAGATGCGATCTAAGGGGTCGTAGGGGTAGCTGGAGGGGTGGAGAGATGTGGAGAGGGGTGGAGACGGGTGGAGAGGTAAGAGAGTAGTCGAACATGAGGGTGGACGAGGCAGCGCCCCCACTGGTGGCCATCACTCCGTCTGCATCTTAGATGCGATCCAATGGGTCGTAGGCGTACCTGGAAGGGTGGAAAGGGGTGGAGAGAGGCGGAGAGGGGTGGAGACGGGTGGAGGGGTGAGAGAGTAGTCAAACATGAGGGTGGAGGAGGGAGCGCCCCCACTGGTGGTCATCACGCCATCTGCATCCCGGATGCGATCCAATGGGTCGTAGGGGTAGCTGCAGGGGTGGACAAGGGGGGAGAGGGGTGGAGAGGGGTGGAGAGGTGAGAAAGAGTAGTCAAACATGAGGGTGGACGAGGCCGCGCTCCCACTGGTGGCCATCACACCGTCTGCATCCCAGATGCGATCCAAGGGGTCGTACGGGTAGCTGGGAGGGTGGAGAGGGGTGGAGAGGGATGGAGAGGGGTGGAGAGGGGTGGAGAGGTGAGAGAGTATGAGGGTGGACGAGGCAGCGCCCCCACTTGTTGCCATCACACCGTCTGCATCCCAGATGCGATCCAAGGGGTCGTAGGGGTAGCTGCAGGGGTGAAGAAGGGAGGAGAGGGGTGGATAGGTGAGAGGTGGCAGTCAAACATGAGGCGGCGCCCCCACTGGTGGCCATCACACCGTCTGCATCCCAAATGCATTCCAAGGGGTCGTAGGGGTAGCAGCAGGGGTGGAAAGAGATGGAGGGATGAAGGGACAAAGGGGTGGAGCGATTGAGGGGTGGAAAGGTGTATATAGGCATTATGAGGATAAGAGCAACATAGAGGAGGCACATGGCTTAAGCGACCATACATGCACTAGGGAGAGAAGGCAGCACAGCACAGCACCGCACAGCACAGCACCGCACAGCACCGCACAGCACAGCACAGCACAGCACAGCACAGCACAGCACAGCACAGCACCACACAGCACCGCACCGCACAGCACAGCACAGCAGATGTGGTAGTAAATGCCAGCTTCTTAACTCACCGCAGCATGCGGTTGGTGCGCGAGTCGTTGGCGCAGAAGATGCGCCACCAGATAAGTTAATGCGCACAGCACAGCACAGCACAGCACAGCACCGCACCGCACCGCACCACACCACACAGCACCGCACAGAATGGCTTCACTCACCGCAGCATGCGGTTGGTGAGCGAGTCGTTGGCACTGAAGAGGCGCCACCAGAGCAGCATGACTCCGGAGGGGTCGGGCAGCGACACGTATGACGCCGGGGGCAGCGGCCTCAGCTCCAGCGCGTTCACCAGCGGCTTGCCGTAGATGCTCACGAAGCACACCTGGGGAGAGGGGGGAGGGAAGGTCAGAAAGGTAAGGGACGTGACTGAGGGAGACGTTGGGGGGGCCCTCAGCTCCAACGCGTTCACCAGCGGCTTGCCGTAGATGCTCACGAAGCACACCTGGGGAGTGGGGGAGCGGGGGGGGGGAGAGGGAGAGGGGAGGGGGGGGGCGGGTGGGGGAAGTACAGTTGACTCAGTCTCCTTGCTGATAATGGCCTCAGCTCCAGCGCGCTCACCAGTGGCTTGCCGTAGATGCTCACGAAGCACACCTGGGGAGAGGGGGGAGGGAAGGTCAGAAAGAATAGAGAGGTGACTGAGGGAGTCGCTGCGGGCAGCGGCCTCAGCTCCAGCGCGTTCACCAGAGGCTTGCCATAGATGCTCACGAAGCACACCTGCAGGGAAGGAGGCGGGGGGGGGGGGGGGGGGGGGGGGGGGGGGGGGGGGGTGGGATAGAGACGACGGGGGTGTGGGGTGGGGGGGTTGGGATGGGATGGAGGTGGGTGGGGGAGGGGGTATTCCGAAAGGAAAGAACGGTGGCTGAGTGCCCACCAAGGATGCTCTTGAGTCAACCACAGGACCGGTTCGGTTCGAGCAGAAACCAAAACCGGTTTGCCTCGAAACGAAAACTTCCCTCACGCCTACTTTTGGTTGAAGCCAAAAAATATTCCACAAAGCTAGTACCACCGCTAATGCCTTCTGTTACCTGCTGTTAGCTTCTGTTACCGTCTGCTACCCACTGGTACCTTCTGTTACCTTCAACCGCCACGAGCCCTATTTCCTCCTAACTCATTCCTTCCGTCCACATACCTCGAGCTCTGTTGAGTCCACTTGACCAATGATCTCTGAGACCACCCTCTCCTTCAGAGTCAGCACCACCGTCGCCCTGAACACAGCACATAGCACACACACAGCACATAGCAGTCCAGCCAGTTCCAACCATCTTAAACCAGTCGAAGCATGTACCGCATGAATGAGCAGAGGGTGGGGTGGGGCCAGGCAACGACGCACCGCAATTCACGGCGTGAAGCAAAGCCAGAGCAGAATCAAAATCTCGGCAAACAAAGAGCACAGCAGCACCATCACACACTCACGCGAACGAGATCCCAAAGGAGACGTTGAACGCGGGCGGGCTCTTGGCCTTGTCATAGTTCCCATAGTACATCACCAGCCGCAGCAAATACCTCCCAGGCTTGGCCACCGGGATGTTATAACAGTTAACGGGGTACTCTGTAAAGACTCGCATGGTCGCGTCCGCGTCATACGGCCCCCATTGCTTGCCCTTGGGAGGGGGGGCAGTGCCGGGTACTCCTGTGCTGTAGTATTGATCCGGCTGCCACCTTATTCCAGTGAGTTTGTCCACAAACGGGGGACCCGTGTATCCGCAGTTGATACTAACGAAGCCTGCAGAACGAGAGGGACGCGGGAACACAAGGGCGTAGTAGCACGCGTCAATAAGACCAGTGCACTGTAACATGCGCTGTTCTGTACTGTACTGTACTGTACTGTACTTTACTGTACTGTAATCCACCCCATACATGGGTTACGGGTATGCTACACGCTCGCACAAGCTCACAATCGTTTTGCCTCATTGTGGCTCAGGGCCTTCGGTAACTCGCCAGACCGTCCGATGCTCGTCTAGCTGCCAGGTTTTCGCTAAGCCGTCCACTGTTCGCCTAGCTGACCACTGGCCGCCCAATTTTCGCCTAGCAGCCAATGCTCGCCTAACCGTCCACCACTCGCAACTGCGAAGCATCGAAACCTTAAAACGGGTACATGGTCAGGCTATAGCTAAATGGTCGCAAGCACCTGCTGGACATCGAAACCCTAATTCGGTATACGGACACCCTCGCTTCTTGAGGCGCCTGGAAAATGGTTGTATGGTCCCAAACAACTGCTGTACATCGAAACCCTAATTCAATACGCAGACACCCTCGCTTCTTGAATTGCCTCGAAAGTGGGGGTATGGTCGCAAGCAACTGCGAGACATCGTAACCCTAATCCGGTACACGGTCGTTTCTCGAGCTTGAGGCGCCTCAGAACGCTTGTATGGTCGCAAGAAACTGCCATATACACGGTCGACAAGAGTCTCAGTAAACCAAATAGCACTGCCTTGTTCGAAGCTAAACAATGCCGACTCTGAGCAGAACCATTGCACACCCGTCGCCAACTTCGCAAACTCCGCAGACTTCGCGGACTACAGTGTATTCGCCGTAACAGCTTCTCCACTGCGACATTGTCGTCACCACAAGCCCCTCTTAGTGCGGTAGAACACGCTAAACTCTCCTCAGTACTCCTACAGAGCCGGGCCGTAGCCATACTTCGCTCCGGAACAAGTGACTACCAGCGGCCTGGCAAAGCAGCGATTCTTTTAGTCGAGTAAAAAAACTCCGCTCCAGAACAAGTGATTACTAGCAGCCTGACCAAACAGCAGGAATCTACACGACAGCTAAGCAGCGGTCCCGATTAGGCGGCAGTAGCACCTATCTAACACTGCCAGAACAACGCGACCTGCAGCAAGCCGAACCCTAATGTCTGTAAAACACCACCCTGGAGACAGCAACTGGCGAGCGGTTGCAGTAGATTAACGAAGTGAGTGGCAACCCTAAACTCACGAAATTCCGCTTTGATACAGCTCCGCACGAGCTTCTACCTAAGCAACCCTAAACGAAAGTAACAGTAATAAACTGCGGCACGTTTCTATCCTCAGTAGACCGCTTCAGCTTCAGTATGCGAACGAGGAAGAGCAATGGAGTAGATTTGGTCTTCACCGACCGCATGAATTCGAAGAACTTACGGACTTCCAGCGTAAATAAACGATTCCATAACTAAGCATCAAGCACACGCTGCCACTTGCCTGCTTGAGAAGGCAGACTCGTCCCAGTATTAGCTAAAATCCGCTCCGAATGCGACTGAGAAGTGAGTAAGCCCGATGACGTTCCTGGAATTCTGGCGGGATGGACGGCTATGATTGCTAAGGATAGAAGAAGGGAACAAGCTTGTAGGTGATTCCATTTGACAGCTCTTGGTCTTGGCCGCTTGTGAGACGAGCTTAAGCAAGGCAGGCCGGGACTAAACCTGTAACCAGCAGGGGTCAGCATCCTACTGAGTTCGACGCTGCTGCCATGTGCTGCTGCTACTGCTACTGCTACTGCTTTCTGTACTGCTTTCTGTATGCTCCTGATCCAAATATCCTGATCAAACAACAACTCCAGTGGTAAAGCTTTGCTTGCAGTCTAACCAAATTCTGTGAAAAGTTGACCGCGACGGACTAGAGTGCCATGACCTTTCCAAGTCATCAACTATGGCGATACTAGGGCACTACTCTGCACTGCACAGCTGAGCATCGTGCGAGTTCACCCTCCGAGCTGGCCGTCCCCAAATCAACGCCAACACAACCGCAGAGACTGCTATGCCTTTGGCTTGGTTGGGAGGGGTTGATGTACTTAAGACGCGGCACCTGTTTTCATTTTACAAGGATCGCGGCCTCACATCGATCCTGGCATATCGATCGGCACACCAATGTGCCCACACTGCAAATTTGCAGTGGGGTAGACACATCGAGCTATAGGTGCCAGGATCGAAATTGCAGGCTCGGGCAGGCTGGAGCTGCCATTGCACTTAAACGCGTAGCCAATCAGGGCAGAGCGTGGATGGTCGTCCAGCAATTCCATTCGCAGCGACTCAAGAATTTTTTGCCTGCGACCGTGGGCGACGCCGATCGATCGAGGCTGTCACCTGTGGCGCGATATGCTCTCCCGCCAATCCTAACGCATGCACCACGGCACATCGATCGTGCGAGCTGCAGGTGCCACCAATTTGGGTACCCGTTTACTGTACCTTCTCGAAGTTCAGCGAAAAAAGGATACCAGACATTAGCGATGTCGCCAATACACTGTACAAGCGGCACATCGATCCCCTCCCACGATCGATCCTGGCAAAATGAAAACAGGTGCCGCGTCCTTACTGTACGTCTGTGGGTGGTACGTGAGAGAGTCACGTGAGTTGAAAAAGGGAGGTTAACTAAGGTGAAGGACGATTTCCTGCTTTCATATGCGGTAAAGGTTTTGATCGTCAAAATCGAAGTCACAAGATCGAGAAGGGTGGGATGGAGATGATGAACCGCCAATCTCCGTGGCTTGTGCCCGTGCACCTGCAACGCTACCGGCTACCCGTCCCCATCTAACGATTTTCGGGCTTCTGTGCAGGCGGGGCGGGGAGAAAACGTGACGTTTGGTCTGACATACCTCTTGGTAGGTCAAGTGCTGACTTGGGGCTACACCCAATTCTTCGTTTATCTCACCAAACGCGTTTCAGTCGGAGGTGCTTGTCTATTTTGCCCGGTGCTTTTAACGTCTGCGAGTCACATTTCCCTGCGTATTGCCGTCCCTTGCTCCCGAAATGTGGCTATAAATACGTCTTTGCATCTGTAGGCCGGCCTGACCTAATCATAACTAATAAATTTGGCCTCGTCTTTAGCGCAAATGCGTGCAACTGTAGTGCTCTGCCACCAATTTATTTTCAACGTTTAGCAATTCAATGCTGAACTGATCACGCGTGTGAATCGATTCTATGTGACATAAACGCATCGCTCCCAACTTCTATGTGAACGTACCGACCAGGTAGCACAATCGCGGGTGCATCGAACGAATAAATGGGTGTACGGCTGGTGGTGGTGGCTGCCTGGTGGGTGGAATGTTTGTGGCTGGTTATCCGTCGACGAGGTTGGGGCAAAGCAAGCAACCTTCCGAACCTAATCGGACACACGTTCGCGAACAATTCTTTTGGGGCAACCCGTACCACAAAACCTTGGTTCACCACAACCCACGCACACATTTGGCTTCGGAACAAGCGACAGGGAAACCTATTGTTTCAGGCCACTGGCCCAGGCCAGATCTGGCCGAAGCCTACCTGGAGGTACGGAAAGTGCAACAGCCTCGGCTTTGTACGAGCCGCCCAGGCCGAAGCGGATTCTGGAGCCTCTGGAGCTCCACTGACACAGCATCCCTCCCTCCAAGCATTCTAGAAGGGGCCTCGAGGAAGAGCTGCGATTTTGATAACAACGATGTCTAAAGAACTTGTTACGGGTGCAATGAATCTAAGTAGCGAGAATTGCACTAAGGTGTCAAAAATGAGTACAAAGACAGCGAAGGCATGAGCAAACATTTATATGTGAACATGCAAACGGTAACGCGGTGCGTGCGAGCTAGCTAGTGCTACGCTGGCAGCGAGGTTCGGGCTAGTCCCGAAGCGTAGGCCGACACGGCCGGGCCAGCAGTGCGAGGTTTGGCAAAACAGCGCGCGCGAAGTTGGCGAAGTCCCGTTAGCAGTAACGGGCGAACAACGGCTGTTGCTATACGCGATGTAGTCGGGCTCCGTAAGGAATGCCGAGAAAATTCCTTACACTACCCCCCCCCCCCCCCCCCTCAAGAAGCCCCCTCCGCTACGCGAGTGCGCGTATATCGCGGAATCCCGGGCTCCTCAGGTACACTTGCAGGGCAGGGTGGTTTTCAATGTTGGCTAGGGGCACCCAGCTATCTTCAGTTGGCGTGCGGTCTTTCCAGCGAACGAGGAATTCAATCCTCCTGATTCCCGTGGGGTGGCGAATCCGATGGCTCTGGATTTTTTCGGGCTCGATGATCGGCTCCGATGCAGGGCGAGTCATGGAATACGGGCGCTGGCGAGGCAGTTGGCTGGTGGTTGGGATGTATGGGCAAAGTAGGCTGACGTGGAACGATGGGCTGATGTACCAGTCGGTTGGTAACAGTAGGTGCGCGGTTACCGGCGTGATCATGTGGCTGATTTGGAATGGACCACATTAGCGAGGTCGAAGTTTCGGTACGTCGGGCAATTGCAGATTTTGCGTGTCGAGCAGTACGTAATCCCCTGGCTGGTATGTGACTGGGCGGCGGTGGCGGTCAGCGTTGCGCTTAGCGATGGCGTTAGCTTTTTTAATTGCTTCTGCGGCTCTGGTGCGGGCAGCTTGCAGAATTTCGGCGAATTGCTGTGCACGTGGTGTTGGGTTGTCCGGACTCGGCATCATGGGCACTGTAGGATTTTGCCTGTAGTTCAGGTAGAAGGGGGACTGATGCGTCGTCGCTGACGTGGCGTTGTTGTACGCGAACTCGATCAGCGGCAACTGCTGCTCCCAAGTCGTGGGGTCGTGGCACGTGGCACGAATCAACTGCTCCATCGTCTAATTCGTCCGCTCCGTTTGACCGTCGGTCTCGGGGTGGTACGACGAACTGAACTGTAGCCTGGTCCCGAACTGCTCCCAGAGGTTCCTTCAGAAGTTGCCGGTGAACTTCGTGTCCCTGTCGCTGATAAACGTTGCTGGTATCCGGTGCAGGCGAACAACGGCTACGATAAACAGGCGAGCTGTCTCCTCGGCCGAGATCGACTTTTTGCACGCAGCGAAGTGTGCCATCTTCATCAACTTGTCAACGACGACCATCACCGCGTCGTTACCCCCAGGGT